TCTGAGTTCCTCCAACAAGAACAGAAGTTAATCGAAGAACAAGTCAATTCTCCACATGTAGAGTCCTCCCAACACGAACAAGAATTGACAGAGGAGCAGGTTCCTCATTCTGAGTTCCTCCAACAAGAACAGAAGTTAATCGAAGAACAAGTCAATTCTCCACATGTAGAGTCCTCCCAACACAATCAAGAATTAACAGAGGAACAGGTTCCTCATACTGAGTCCTTCCAACATGAACAAAAGTTAATCGAAGAACAGGTAAATGTTCCACATGCAGAGTCTTCCTTACACGAACACGAATCGACAGAGGAGCAGGTTAAGACTACTGATACTGATACATCCGCCAATGATGTTCCTTATACGGAGTCCTTCCAACATGAACAAAAGTTAATCGAAGAACAGATTAATAGTCTACATGTAGAGTCCTCCCATTATGAACAAGAATTGATAGAAGAGCAGATGGCTACTGACACTGATACATCAACTAGGGATGTTTCTTATACTGAGTCTTTCCAATACGGACAAAAGTTAGTCGAAGAACAGGTCAATGTTCCACATTCAGAGTCCTCCCAACACGATCAAGAGTTAACAGAGGAACAAGTTGAGACTACTGATACCGATAGTGATACATCCACTATTGAAGTTCCTTATACTGAGTCTTCCCATTTTGAACAAGAGTTAATCAAAGATGATAGCGTTGATATAATCTACGAAACTGCACCTTCTCACATAATCAACGAGACAACACGGAAAAATGGTACATTATCATCGTCGGGTGAATCAACACAGGAGATAACGCAAGAACACAAAAGCAACGAAGAACAAATCGAGGTTTCAACATCGCGAGATGTCGCTTTAACAAGGAACAAGAAAAAATATCTCCATCAAACCAGTAAATATGAAAATGTTGACGGTAATTTAGTTTATTTGGTTACAACTTTGATTACAACCTTTACCTTGGGAATCGTGTCTATGTTATTTAAGAGTGTTTTTGGAACAAGAAGAAGTAATTAAATATGTAAGCCTGGTGTAATTATATGAGTTTATGGTTTATGCACTTCTTTACCGAAGGAACTTTGTTAATTGGATACCTCAAAATAAACATTTAGTAGAATTTTAATTTATTTAGAGTGACTCTCACTCAATTATTTATTTATGCACATCAGATTTCAGATTTTATTTTTTTTTGTACGTACGAATCGTGAAATTTATCTGGAATATTTAGCATTAAATTGAAATGTGAACAGTTTTAGTGAACAATATGTACTGCACCTGTCGACTTGTAATGTAGTAGCAATGCATTTTTTTTTCGGAAGGCCACATCTCCGATCAAAAATTAATATAATTCAAGCTATAGTTAATTATTAATGCTATAGACCAAATTTAACGTATAATAAAGCAGTTCAAATTTTTATTAATGTTTAACGCTATTAAAGCAGTGTGGGTTGTGCTTTTTCACTCAAAATAGCCATTATTATTAGCAAAAAAACCAATATAAAAGGCAAATTTACAATTTTTTTGAAGAAAAGTTTTAAACTTTTTGCATAATATTTATATAATTATATAGAGAAAATTTTTTATAATATAGTACAGTATAATAAATAAAAAAATACAATATTACTAAAGTTGGTTTTTGCAAAAATAAAAATATTGAATATGCTAATTCAATTTATTTTAAACCATTAAAAATTTGTTACAAATTTTAATATGAGAAGTTTGTAGCAAATATATTTGGAATACATATCACATACAGTAGGGATGTTAAGTAGTCCGCAGGGAGCCAAGTCCAGACTGGTTCTGGACTGGATTTTTTAGGGACCATCTAGAACCAATCCAAAACTAGTCTGAATAATTACATGGAATGAACCGAGTGTTGTTTTTGACATCTCAAACAGAATTTATATAGCATGAATCAAAAATGATGTTTTATGTTGCTGAAATATAAATGGATTTAAACTTAATTAGGTGATAAATAATAATTATTTGACAAAATTAGTTAGTACATATGACGATTTTTTATAGACTTTATTTGTTTTCTTTCCTCTTTTTGTCTTTAATCAATAATTATTTGAATGAGATAGTAAGCATAATTACATCAAACTTAAATTTGTTAGTCTAAAAGTTTCTCTAAATATAATAATAAAATGAAACTTGTTCATCTTCTCTTGCAGCAATGAAAATGGGAACTGATGCATAGAAGGGTAAGCAAGAACTTAAAACCCTGCAGATGCAGGCGATAACTTTAAAATAAGCCCAAATACTAAAATCATAGGCCCAAGTACTAATAGGACGATGATTGTCATGATGGAAAAGTACAAATAAATGTAAATAGATTAATAACTACATAATTATTAAAAATATTTGTAATTCTCTAAAACAATTTGGCATTCATTTTTTATAAAAATCTGCCTTTCTTCTATTTCATTAATTCGAAATATACAAACCACAATATAATTATATCAAGCTATAAAATTACTAGTCTGAATTTCTTGCCTGATAATTGTTCTTTTATTTATATTGTTACAAGTGAAGTAGTCTTCTTAATTTACCATCTGCAACATAGCACACAGCGACAGGAATCTCTAATACAACAGGGCGAGATATGAAGCGGTGTGGAAGTAGAATGTTTCCTCACTAGGGCAGTTCGGTATATTTATTAGAAGCATAGAGACATGGTTTACTTTAGAGCA